TTCATCTGGTGAGAACAACAAACGAATCTCTTCATCATGTACTTTCATTCGAAATGAAGGTGCCCCTAACAATACTTATAAAGAAAATATACGTCTACAGTTAGCCAACTAGCTCTAGTCTCCGCCACAGCGATGATCTCTCTAACCATAGCGCCAAGCCTCTGACCTCATATGCCCTAGTCTCTTGTGTGCCATCAGCCAAATGTTGTAGTTATACTTGTTTTTATTAAGCTCGTTGTAGACTGTCCCTCTTGGTTCCCGATAGTTCCTTTCTGATTTTCAAGCGATTTATTTTCATAAATAAAAAAAATGCTTCATCGAAGGTATGTAGACCAAGATGGTGTGGCCTATTGGGTGGTTGCAGTCTCCTTTCGTTGTGTAGAAGTTGATTTACCTTGTTTTCGCAACTTGGTCATATTGGTAGGGAGGCTTAGAGGAACGCACCTAGTTCGGAGTCCATTGTATGCACGATAATTTTAAGAGTCGGACAGTGGACGTGGTACATTCCAAGACGTTTAGTCGGCATTGTCAGTGAGACTTGCCAGTCTTAACACCACACTACAACTCGTTAAAGAGACAAGTGAAGCCGATCCTTTGACCAATTATCTGCTAAACTATATGACCAAGTTGTGAAAACAAGGTCAAACTACTTCTCTACAACGAATGGAGACGGCGACCACATAAAAGGCCACATCATCTTGGTTTTCATACCGTCGATTAAACTAAGGAAGTAAGATTGCCAAACAATGCACTGACTACAGCCGGACAAAGAAGACAAATGTAAGTTAATCCTGCCATTTGACCTTTTGACTTGTTGCAAACATTATGGTATCCTTCCCCGATTCTGCAATCTAATGAGGAAGTGTCATTCGGGCACAGACAATGAAATACTTTATCACGCCTCCGTCCAGAAATTAGAGGAAAGTTACAAGACTGAGAGGCGTAAGCAATTTAAGTTCATAGATCTCAAGTCTAGATTAAGGAAGCATCTATGCAGGGTTCTTACTTCGGATGATTTTCAAAAGGTCCATAGCATGACGGACCAGGAGTCACAGAGGATCCGGGATCTGATAAATAATCGTTATGATAATTAATTGCTTAGCTATGGGATAATACGACAACGCATGACCAAGCCAACTCGGGCAAATTGTGATGTTTCTTTATTGAAGGCATCAACTGCTACAGACGACGATAGAAATAAGGTAGTAAACCTATGTTCAAACCCTGTGGATTGTGAAACTACAGATCTCTTAAAGAAGAGGCTGTATTAAAGTAATCAACTACTACAACCGACGATAGGGATATGGTGGTAAATATAGCCGAAAATCCCTCTTGATTCTGAAACCATGGATAACTTAAAGTAAGAGTTACCTTTTTCCTTAGGTAGTGACGGAAGCGATTAGTGATAATTTGATAGAAGTTGTCAACATATCGGATAAATATCCAGAAGAGACAAAGCGGGAGATGGAAACGGAAATAATCCCATGGATCCTGGCACATCAAGAACGGATACACAGGAGCATACTGTTTGGTATACTGAAAAAAGTACAAAAGAATAATTTTTTAGGTGGATAAGGGATAAGTGACGGTTGTAATGGACAGGAAAAAGTACACGGAGAAAATGGAATTTATCTTAGGCGACAGGAACACTTATAAAGTACCAAGAAGGGATCCAACCATGAAGATAACCTGTGCACTGAAGAATATGCTCAAGGAAATGCATAATAATGGGGAAATTGACAGATGGATGATTAAATCTTTAATAAAAAATGACGCAAAACACCGACAGCCTACGGATTACCGAAGAAAAACAAGGAAGGAAATCCGCTAAGATTAAGAGTCAACAACAAAGATGGAGCAACACATAAACTAGCGAAATTCACTCGCTTGAAGCTCAAGACTTTAGAATACCGTCAAGAATTCATATGATTTTTCTTTAACTATCCAGAACATTGAGCTGGTGGGGATGGAACAGTTGGTGAGTTTCGATGTACAATCCAAGTACACAAACATCTCAGGTGAGAAGTCGGTTAGAGCCTTGCTGGAGATATTTGATTGAGAAGGGAATACCCTGAAGGCAGAACGGATACGAAAGTAATCGTTAACACGACTGATCAAACTGACAGTAAAGACCACATATTTTACATTTAACGGCTGTATCTACGAGCAAATATTTGGACTACTGATAGGATCTCCACTCTCACCTCTTTGGAAAATGTGCACATGGATAAGTTGAAAAAGGGAATTCGTAAAGTCACCACTACAACCAAGAGTGTTTATGCGATATTTTAATGACTACTTTGCACTATGGTCACATGGTAAAAAAAATTTAAATGAATGAAATAATTAAATTCACAATGGAGGTGGAGGAGGATGAACGACTACCCTTTCTGGATGTTGAAGTCATACGCTCCAAGGGGACACTCGTGAGGAGAGTATACAAAAAGAATTTATATGCGGGAATAATCCTTAATTTTCAGTCCCTTCATAACTACAGACTGAAGATCGGAATACTAAGGAGTTTGCTCATCAGAAACTTAAGACTAACAGACAATGAGTTCTGGGACGAGAAGCTGGGCAAACTGACACGGATTTGCCTTAGTAACGGGTACCCCAGAGAATAAATAGAAAAAAATGTAGAGGTTTTAAAGGAAAGATATCAACTCAGATTATATAAAAATCCTATCATGAACCAGAAGGACGACCAAAGGTGGCTATGCCTGCCCTCATCTGAACTGAGCCATCAATTGCAACAGTTACTAAGTAAATGGAACATTAAGCTGATAACAAAGTAGAAGACAACACTTTTCACTAGTCTGCCGACGCAACACGTGAAGACTGGCAAACTGGATTACTGGGGAGTTTATCGCATCATCTGCGGCGGCAGCATTAAAGGGGCTGGCACACAAGAAACAAGGACAGAGGAAGTGATAAACTTGGTATTAGGGATGGATACAGGAAAGACGCGGCGGAGACTAGAGCTAGTTGGCTGACAGTAGGCCTGTTTTACCATAGACGTAGTTCATGAAGCAAAGGCTTGACGATGGGAAATACTCGGGGGCTTTAGCCTTGAGTTAGTCTCCCAGACTCAGAGTGTGGGAAATAACGCCTCGAGTAGCACAGATGAGGTGGCAGGGTCGGGTGAGATACTTGAATCAGGAAGATGGGAGGAGGATCCTACGGGGCAAGACAGGGACTATGATAGGAGCAATCGGAGGAGGACTGCGTAACAATATTGCAGATTTTGATCGACATTCCCAGTACAAGGGGTGAGAAAGCCAGCGTGGGTAGTGAGTAGTTCTCATGAAAGCCGCTCAAAAGGGCACATCATACGACATTTAAATAACCAAGCCAAATTGTGATATTGAAGGCGTGATAGGAATATAGGAAATGTGAAAAGCCCAGGGAAGAAGGGGAGATACCACAAGTGTTTAGCACATGTTTGGTCAAAGGATCGGCTCGACTTGTCTCTTTGACGAGTTGTTGTGTGGTACTAAGAATGGCAAGACTCACTGACGATGCCGGCGAAATGTCTGGGAATGTACCAAGTCTATGGTCCGACTTTGAAAATGATCATGCAGACAATGGACTCCAAACTAGGTGCGTTCCTCTAAGTCTTCCTACCAATATGACCGAGTTGCGAAAACAAAGTCAAACAAATTCTTACAAAATGTTTCCTTTGCTGGTCGTCTCCTAGCTTTCTTGGGCAATATGCAAAGTTTTCGCTAATTTCTCCTTCAAGTCTCTTGTTCCTT